AGGACCGGTTCTATCCAATTCTGATCAATTTTCCGATTATATATTTATTTTATTTATTTTCAGCAGGTTTATTGTAATCGGGTCATCAGGTCAAACCTGATTGTCCTGAGAACTGATTCGGTTATAGGTCTAAAATTGCAGGTCCTATTGGGTCTGGTTCGATAGATTGCTGGTCCTTACTATTTATTGTCATGTCAGCTTTGACCAACCCGGACCCGACACATTAAGAACCCTAGTTCCATATAACTGATGCAGCTTTGGCCAAGTGAGCCTTGGTTAAAGTGGATAAATTTGGAATTCAGGCTGAGTTAGGATTCAAATATATAAATCCAATTTAATTTCAGGTTAGGTTAGGGACTTAGGGTTGAGGTTTTGGGCAATCCAAATAACCTGGATAGTTGGATTATTTGCACCCTTACAAGGAGGCAACACATACTATGTTACTGCCTTCCTAAAGAATGACACCATCACCACCCTTCCTGCCTATAATGGCTGGTGTCATCATCAAAATGTTGAAGATCCAGATATGTTGTCTAAAGCAGAGTTTTCAAGCTGTCATCGATCAAACAGTTGAACTTTGTCTGTTTAACCCGTGACCCGAAAGCTAGGATAGCTGGGCGTGGGTCTAATCCCAAACCCGTTAAATGATTAGAAAAGCATTGACTAGGGCAAAAACCAGATGTTTAATCTGCTGAACCATTTGAATCATTCTTTGGTTGATGATTAATCATTTACTTATGACAAAAAGGATTAGGCTCTGTTTGTTTATAGCACAAATCTGAATCAAATACAGATTTTGCATCTCATTTGCTCCTATTGGCAGTGCGAATTTTGCATAATTTGCATCACCTTTCTCCTGCCTCAATCTTAATATAAGTAGCCATTACAGCATCTCATCTTCTATCAAACTCCCAAGCAAATTAATAGCCTACTCCCATCTCCATTCTCTCTCACCACCTCCTTTTAATTCTTATTCTCCTTTTCTAAGCAAGACAAAGTCGAATATGAAGAAAACTAAACCAGAATTTATACAAACCATTTGCATTCCCATGCATTTACATCAATGCAAATCAAATAGGGTGAAAAGAAGATACAATGAGAGGTAGGGAAAATGAAAGGCCAACCAAGTGGAAAGCTAGCATCCCAACACAATGATGCCAAATCTAATATTGCCGTCATCCTCTTTAGCAAGCGGTGACCGGCCATCCAATCTTGGACAAAAACACTACTACTATTTACCATTTTCTAATGTTCAAGTGAAATATCATCCTCTTCTTCTTTTGTTGTCTCTTTCTCTCCTTTTGTTCTTCTTAGTTACCACCATGACCCTACTTTCTTTTTGATAAGGTATTTATGCATTTACCCATATTCTTTTATTTTTCATGTAAATAAGGCAATGACCATTTTATTCATAAAAATCCATTATTAAAAGGGGTATTTTTGTCCAATTCAAGTGTTGGCAACATTCTCCCTAGGTGGGAAAGTTATTTACCAACCTAGGATATTCGGGTAAGTGATACCTAGGAAAATAAACTTTCCCTTCTCCCCACATAAATCTGAAAAATACAGCATGAGATTCTTGGCCAATAGGAACCAAAATCCCATTGACCAACTTTCCCCCCTCTCAAAATCCGAAAAAAGAACGTCCCCCATATGTATTACTATATATAATACCAATTAATTATCCCCATCTATATGTATTTTCTTATATATATATATATATATAGAGAGAGAGAGAGAGAGAGAGATGCACACACACACACAATATAAGGTTACCCAATATTCTAATTTAATACCTTGGTTACCAATTGATTGTGGCTCAATTGGTAGGATCTCTAACTCATTGTAGTAGATACCTAGGATCAGACCCCACTGATGGGAGATGGGCTACCCCTATTCTATAGTCATATGGAGAAAAAAAATCACGTACTAAGGTCTCCATGTCCTCATATAGTGGAACAACAAAGAAGCTCATCAGATAGTCCCATCAACCAATGGTAATTTGATATCTAGATTATTTATCACAAAGCCCATCTCACAACAACCTTACATCCCACCGTGTATTGGGAACATTTCCTTGTCAATAACAACACTAATATGAAACATATTATGAGTAGACTTGTTCACATGTTGGGTTGGCCCGGGCTTTGTCTCTATATTAACAAAATATATTTAGGCCCGAGTTAGAGCTTGGCCTAGCATGTATTAGGAACATCTCCCTATGAATAACAACAATAGTATGGAAATATATTACGAATATACTTGTTCACGTACTGGGTTGGGCCGGGCTTTGTCCTTATATTAATAGAATACATTCAGACCCGAACTAGGGCTTGGCCCAACCATTGGGCCTAAGTATTAAGTAAAGCTTGGCCACAAAAATGAAAAAAAAAACAATTTTCTTTTCTATTCAATAAAAAACTAATTTATTTATATTAAAAGATGTTAAAACCGAAAAATAATAAAACATCTCAATATAAATTGAAAAATAAGAAGAGGAACAAAAGATTATATTTTTTATCATAAAAATCTTTGTTTTTTGGTATATATTTTTTTTGAACCCGAACCCGAAATCATGAGCCTAAATTCATGTTAAGCCAGGCCTGTTGGGCTATCCGGCCGATGAACTCTATTTGCGAATTGCGAGGTTGGTGTGAGGAGCAGATCCGGACTCGCCGACTCGGCAGTTTGATGCATCGTCCTTCCGTCATTCGTCCACCGGAGCGGCGAAGCGCTCCGAGGAATCTCGTGCGTTCAGAAAATCTCATATTTTAATGGTGCAACGCGTATCAATCGAATCCGTGGGAAAGCTTGCTTCTCTATCGTCGTCAATCCTGCTTCGTCGGGCATCAATGGAATTATATAAAATGAAAAAGTAAAAAACAGAAGGCTTTCCATCATTGGCACGTGTTTATTGATCAAAGAGAATGACTGAATTTATCGTCGCATCCTCGGTCGCAAATAGAAATATCCCCAATATCACGTGAGATGGATCCTTAAGTCAAATTTATCGCGATACGAAACCTTACATTACGGCCTCCTGCCGATAAATATGATATTTCAGTGAGCAGTGAGATTAGAAAGGGAACAAGATCTTGAAAAAGTGCCCACTCCGTGGCCAAGCTTGTCCAAGTCAAACCACTTTCGACCTGTTGACCGGTACCTTCCGGTACATGCACCTTCTGCTCCGACACCGGAGGAAAGCGAGTCCACCGGTTATAGGCGGTCTCGATTTTTACTGCCTGAAAAGCCCTAAAGCCAATCATGGAGATTGCTCACCTACTACACTGCACCAAATGATTCGTACCTTAGAGATGGCGACACGCCCAAGATCTGGACCTACTGTCGATCAGAGCCATTCATTGCCGAAACAACCCCCCCTCCCCCGTCGAGAGATTTTCCCGTGGTTTCGCGTGTTACTGAGATGGCCGTGGGTGAGAACCGTGAGCGGGCCCACTTGGAACTTCTGACCGTACGTGACGAAATCTGATTGGTCATGCGCGTAGTGTCAGAACTCTGGTGTCCGTATCTACTTCCTTGATTTTCTTATTCTCTCATGTATTCTTTTATTCTTTGCTAATTTACATAACTAACACCTATCGGTGCTATAAATTACAAACCAAGCACTATGGAATAAGTGACAAGATTACAAAAATGCCCATATTTAAGAAAACTGGGCTGTACTTGAGGATTAGTGCCTGTTCGGGAACTGGGAGGGCGTTCCGTTCACGCTGTACTTTTTTTGGCCCAGAGAGGAAGTGCCTACCCAAAATCTAAAAGCATACAAACAATGCTGGTTGAAAGGATTCTAGAACCAAATTTGGGCATCGTACAGTCACAGTCACAGACACTTCACATCTGCTGCAGCACTCTCTTGCAACTCTTTAATACGGTGCTGAAGAGGCCAACTGCCAACGTTTGCAATAAATTCAAGACATCATGTCATCTTTTTTTTTTGAATGCTGACGTGTCTCCATTTCATTGGGAAGTGCAATAGTTTTATGACCATGGTTGCAATATATGGATTCACCCATTTTGATGGTTCTCCAAACAAACCTCTTTATAATTTTCAAGGGCCGATTTGCTTTGCAAGAATAAGGTCTGGAATCTGAATGGAGTCAATGGACATGGATCAACTGTTTAGTGGGATTGAATCAGAATCTCATTTCATTTCCCAGTGGAATGGTATCCCCCATTTGAGAAAATGATCATTCTCTTCTCTTTTTTGAGAATGAAATCCCATTTCAGCTCATTCCAATTCTGAAATTGATCTATGTTTGAATCAAACAAATTATATGGAAATAGATCATTTCGATTTTGATTCTGATTCTAATTCCGAGTACAAACCAAATGGATCCTAAACTTTTCATCATAGTACATAGTATCAACGTGTATTATATGTTATGTATCAATTTCCAGGGTCATCGTAAATGTTAAATATAAAGGTTTAGAGGATTTTATAGATGATTTTAGATGCTTGATACTGAAAAAAATTTACTTTTGGTTGATTCACATTTCACAAAAATATACTTTTGCGTCTAACAAAAGATATCATATTCAACCAATCACGTTTTGAATGCATATCATAGATTTTGCCTTAATTTTAAATAAAACCAAGGCATTTTGGACAAAGATTAATGGGAGACCCATATTCCTGGTTTTCCTCCATTGAAGGTGTGTACCTTGGTAGTCAGATAATTATTAAGTCTTAAGAATGCAAATGTTCCAAGGTGAAAGTCAGGTAGAACAAGAAGAGGAGAGTGCAGAACTAACATATTAGTGTGTAAAGACAGTGTGCTGTTTGTAATGTAATGGGTGGAGAAGGACAAATTTGTCCTATTGAGTTCAAAAATGTAAGGGCATGGGAGTTATTCCAAACAAAACGAGTGTCGGTTGCGTACTGTAAATTTCTCCAGAGTCCAGACCCCCCCCTTTATTTTAAAGGTTTTCTGCGAAATTACTATACCAGGTGCTTTTGCAGCGAGGAAAAAAGGAAAATAAAAAAACTATACCAGGTGCTTATTTAATGCAATCTTTTCCTTGCGTTTGGCGGGTATAGAAACGAACTGACGAAAAGAGCCCCAAATAGAGATCAAACGCTTTGAAAACGGGAGGAGAGAGAGAGCAGAACCGAACCAGAGATACAAGGCAGAGGACTAGAGGAGGCATGCAAGAAGCAATTATCTCATTGCTCATGTTCCTCTCTCTCTGACCAAATCAGTTGGGCATTGCAGAGCTTTGTTGAATATTCCAGCGGCGTCAAGAAGAGAGGGCTGCTCGCCTGTCCCCCATTTTTTCCTCCCTGTAAATTTTGTAAGGTATACTTATACACCGTCTGTACCAATGGAGATGTACGGTCGGAGCCCAGCACTGGAAGGGTCGCAATCGGATCCGCCGGTGGGCTGGAACTCTCCGGGAGCTGAAACGGGGCTCGAAGGTCAGTCGTTTGTCGTGGCATTTGGGTTTCGTTTTCTTTTCGGTTGAATTTCGCGTTTAGCGATATCAGTTATTAGGGTTCACAGAATGTAGGGGGTTTCTCAATTGGTTTTGGCCTTGATTTTGAAAATGCAGAACCCATGTGGCAATTGGGATTGGGCAGCAGGGATTCGTACCCGGAGCGGCCCAACGAGCCCGACTGTGTCTACTTCATGCGTACTGGGTTCTGTGGTTATGGTGCCAGATGCCGTTTCAATCATCCCCGCGATCGCAGTGCGGTAACCTTTTAATCACTTTTGATTTGGTTTGAATTCTTACAAACTTAGGGCTTAAAGGAAGGCTTTTTGATGTCAATTATCGGTTTTGTCGGTCAAACTCAGTTTGATCTTATAATGTGTGCACTTTTGAGTACTCTCGTGCTAAGATTCGACATTGATTTTTAATAATTGGAGCTCTTTGTTGTCCTTAGATTGCTGGTAAAGTTGTGGGAAGATCATCTCTCTTCTTCCCCCTCCCCTTCTCCTTCTTCTTCTTCTTCTTCTTCTTCTTCTTCTTCTTCTTCTTCTTCTTCTTCTTCTTCTTCTTCTTCTTCTTCTTCTTCTTCTTCTCCTCCTCCTCCTCCTCCTCGAATTAGGAAACAAGATCTATGTACTGGAAATTGAGCAATTCTCAATTAATTTAAGCTATAACACTGCTAGGTTCTGGGATCTGCAAGGCCCGGAGCAGGGGAGTATCCAGAGCGGGTGGGCCAACCTGTATGCCAGGTACTTTTCTGTCTGGTTTGTTGTTCTATTGTGGAACACATTCAAACGAGTAATTGTCTTTTTCCATGCAGTATTTTTTGAAGACCGGCACTTGCAAATTTGGTGCCTCCTGCAAGTATCACCATCCAAGACATGGAGGTGGATCAGCAATCCCTGTTTCACTAAATTATCATGGATATCCATTGCGACCGGTTTGAACTCCTTCAATTTTAAACCTTTTTCGGTTTTATGTTTTACTCACAATCATGTTTTACATTTATTGAATTGATTCTGAGACATTCGTAGTTAGATTACTCCAAAATGAGATTAACTGCAACAGGGGGAGAAAGAATGCGCCTACTATGTGAAAACGGGGCATTGCAAGTTTGGTGTGACCTGTAAATTCCATCACCCACAACCAGCTGGTGTGTCGGTGCCAGCTCCTGCACCACAGTTTTATCCAACGGTGCAGTCTCCTTCGGTTCCTTCTCAACAATATGGGGGAATGTCAGCGAGTTGGCAAGTTGCGAGGTCTCCACTCTTACCTGGTTCATATGTACAAGGTGCTTATGGTCATGTGCTGCTTTCCCCAGGGGTGGTTCCGATTCCGGGTTGGAGCCCTTATCCTGTATGTCTACAAAAAACTCCTTTCTATTGTTTTGGAAATTTGTCAAACATTATCTACGTTTCTTATTAGTCCACCTGCAGGCACCTGTTAGCCCAGTGGCATCTCCTGGTGCTCAGCCCACCGTTGGAGGGGGTCCTATTTATGGCGTAACACAACTATCACCTTCTACACCTGCATATGCAGGTCCTTATCCACCCTTACCTTCTTCTGCTGGTCCTTCAGGCAGCAGTCAGAAGGAACATGTATATCCAGAGAGACCTGGCCAACCTGAATGCCAGTACTACATGAGGACGGGGGAATGCAAGTTTGGATCCTCGTGTAAATATCATCACCCCCTAGAATGGATTACACCAAAAACAAATTGTGTCCTCAGTCCAATGGGCCTCCCTTTGCGTCCGGTATGTGTTCCTTTTGATCTTCATCTTATTCATTTCTTTAATGCAATACTAGAATTGTTGATGTACTTGGCATTGAAAGGAAGTTTCAATAAAAATGTACAATTATTTTCTTTCTTAGCAAAAGTAATGCTTACACAGAAAAAGCTTTGGAATGTTACTTCGATATTGCACTGCTACATGGTTTTAATTCTTATATTCCTGATCCCGTTTTCATAGTTAAAAAATATTTATCACCAAAATGCAGCAACTGCAAACTGATTTTTTTTTTTGTATTTTTTTCTAAGTTTCATTTGTATTTCTGTACTAGAATATCCATGTGATAAATGGCCTCGTCCCTTGAAAGGAATTGATTTTTGATTTTTCTTTGGGGGCTTTTATCTATATCATTGTTTTGATTTCAACGTTGAGAACTTGATGAGCTTCTTATGCAAACACTCTAAATGCAGAGTTTTTGGTTAAGTAGTCTGCAGCATACAGACTTAAAGAACAACAATTGAAAGTTTCCATTTGCAGCTGAAGAGAGTTAAATGGAGGATTGATGAGCTTCTTATGCAAAACACTCTAAATTGAAAGTTTCCATAGGCAACTATTGCTTTTGTTTTATAAAAGAGGATTGATGCCTATGAGATGGTATTGCTGATAAAAAAAAAGCCTATGAGATGGTATTGAATTTGTGCATCAATAGTGTGGGTTCTAGGAAAAAGTTGTGATGAAGACTGGAAGTTCTTTTTGAAAGGTTCTTTCTAGAGTTTGATAGTTATATATGGAAGTTCAACCCAAGAGGAAGTTTCTTGGTTAAATCCTTATTATCTAGTCCATCTCCATCCTAGTTCTTATTCTGTCTGATATTTCTTTTATGCTATCTTTGGTTAGAAAATAAGAGGGAATTAAAGTTGAGAGAAATAGAAAGTTGAGGAAAAGTTTTTTTTTTTTTTTTTGATAAGTAAGTTGAGGGAAAGTTCTTAACAAAATTTGTAAAATTCCTTAAGAACTTTTGCTGAACTTTCTATTTCTCTCTTGTTTTCTATCAAACCAAGCATAGCCTCAAAATGTGGAAACTTCAGGGGTAAATGCGGAAAACTTGGGGCAAAATTCAGAGAAGGAAGATATGAAAAAATTGTTTAGTAAAATAAGTTGTCCGCCACACCTGCTTACCAGGTCTAGGCAGGCAGTTGGGTACAAACTCAACAAAAAAATCGGCCTATCAACTTACAACAGAAACACACTTCATCTTCATATGTATCATCATTAACATCTAAGCCTTGTCCCATCTATATGGGATCAGCTACATGAATCTGGTTCGCCATTTCATTCTGCTCAGTGCCATATCCGTTGTTAAATTATGAGTAGCTTAAATCTTTTCTTACTACAACCCATGTCTTTCTGGTCATATGTATGTGTGTATGTATGTATTTATATCCACCTTTATATTCTTCATTTGCTTTTTGCCCATTGTTTGGCTCTTTTGAAGCTTTTTGTGTTGGATTTCATTTTCTTGATAGAAGATTTTTTTTTTTGAATGAGGTAAGGTACATTTATTGGGAAAAAGAAAGACAGATTATATATAGAAGAGAATCATAACCTCAAAGATTATGTTAATGGTAGGAAAGAGTCTCAAATATGCACTACTCCTTGATAAGAAATGGGCTAAAAGGAAGGTAAAGTCCTAAGATGATGGGCCTCACAGTCCATGCTTGCAGCAAACACACAAGCAAGGTTTAAAATGTCGATGTCGATGGAAATGCCGCTTACCAAAATATAGGACATATGTCGGAAATGTCGAGGGTAAATATTGTAAAAATTAGAGACATTGTGGAAATATTATGAAATATGTGGAAATATGCAATGATATTTTGTAAAATGATAAAAGAAGCATTAAAACATATTTCTAGACTATTATCTTATTCCCAAC